ACTCTTGTAGGACACTCTTGTGGGAACTCTTGTAGGACACTCTTGTGGGACACTCTTGTCGGATACTCTTGCGGGTCACCCTTGTAGGAAACTCATGCGGGACACTCTTACGGGACACTCTTGTGGGACACTCTTGTGGGACACTCTTGTAGGACACTCTTGTGAGACACTCTTGTAGGACACTCTTGTGGGACAGTCTTGTGGGACACTCTTGTGGGTCACTCGTACGGGACACAGTTGTGGGACACTCTTGTGGGACACTCTTGTAGGACACTTTTGTAGGACACTCTTGTGGGACACTCTTACGCGACACTCTTGTGGGACACCCTTGTAGGACACTCTTGTGGGACACTCTTGTAGGACACTCTTGTGGGACAGTCTTGTAGGATACTCTTGTCACTCTTGTGGGGAACTCTTGTGGGGCACTCTTTTGGGGCACTTGTGTAGGACATTCTTGTGGGTCCTTATGGAACACTCTTGTGGGACACTCTTGTGGGACACTCTTATAGGACACTCTCACGGGACACTCTTGTGGGGCACTCTTGTCGGACACTCTGGTGGGACACTCTTGTGAGACACTGTAGGACACTCTTGTGGGTCACTCTTACAGGACACTCTTGTGGGACACTCTTCTGGGACACTCTTCTGGGGCACTCTTGTAGGACACTTTTGTCGCTCACTAGCCACCGGCCGCGTTTACACCAGCATGTTTCGCGCTCCCCAATGACACGGCGCATCGCAAATGCACTTTCCAGCAAGGCCGCGCAAATCCGCATGGCACTGCGACATCACGGACGTAATTCCGCCACACGGTCCGCCGCATACTAGAAAAATATCGCGTCATACCACCATTCATCCCGCTCACCAGCGACACGCCGCGTTTACACCAGCATGTTTCGCGCTCCCCAGTGACACGGCGCCACGCAAACGCACTTCCCACCAAGGCCGTGCCACTGTGACATCACGAACGTAATTTCGCCACACGGTCTGCCACCCACTAGAAGCAAACATAGCACATGATTGGTCATCCTGCTCACCAGCGACACGTCGCGTTTACACCAGCATGTTTCGCGCTCCCCAGTGGCACGGCGCCACGCAAACGCGCTTCCCACCAAGGCCGCGCAAATCCGCATGGCACTGCGACATCACAAAGGCAATAATTTCGCCACATGTCTGCCCACACACTAAGACGAGCGTTTCGTACGAGACTTCCTCCAAAAGTCATGCTTCGAGTCTGCAAGACGAGCGTTTCGTACGAGACTTCCTCCAAAAGTCACGCGTCAAGTCTCCAAAACAAGCGTTTCGTACCAGACTTCCTCAAAAAGTCACACGTCAAGTCTCCAAAACGAGCGTATCGTACGAGACTTCCTCAAAAACTCACATGTCAAAGTCTGCAAAACGAGCGTTTCGTACGAGACTTCCTCCAAAAGCCAAGCGGAAACACCCATCGGAGCACACACATCACGCAGCCCTGCCAAGCAGTTTCGCGATTCCAGCCCCTCCAAACAACGCCCGCTCACAGGCCAATCCCAATGTCACAGCGACATTCACCTCTACCACAACTCACAACCTTACGATTCCCTGCGCCTGCCACGAATCTTTCCGCGTCCACACGTCTAACGCGCACAAAGTACTGCGCCTGCCACGTAATGTCACCTCCGTCACATCTCGCAACCGCACGGTTCCCTGCGCCTGCCACGAAAATCGCACTTCCACACCTCAAAATCTGCACAAAGTACTGCTCCTGCCACGAAAAGTGACAATATCATGTGAGCTTCAACAAAATCTGCACCGCACCACACGTTTGGAATGATTTCGACCCGTCCTGAGCACACTCCCATCCACCAAAATCGTCATTTCAGCTGAGACTTGTCACGAAAACAGAGCTTCGACGCAACACCCTGAAACGCAAACCCACATCCAACACCCCAAAAACATCACTCTCCAAAAAGCTAACCCTGATGGAACTGCGCAGAAAACTGCGGATCTCACAAAACGCTGTGCCCACGCAGTGAACGCAACCTTCATACTTCAACATCTTTCATTTCCACACGCTTCCACGCTATTTCACATGCATCTGACACGTCACGTTTTCGTCCAAAACCCTCTCCAAAAGCTTCCCCCAATGGCAGCGGCCTTAGCGCCCTACTGCGGTCGGCGGCGGACGGTTGCGGATGCTGAAACAACGTGTCGCGAACAAGGCTCTACCCCAAGACCACCAGAGTTAAACGAGAACCCTTCGCTACGCATTCGGGAAAAAGACATGTGGTTCAACGGAACTCCGTTGTGCTGCTCGCAGCGCCAAGACTCACATTGTAGGTCTTTGAAATGAAGGGCATGGAGCGAGAAGCACGGAGGTTGCACTCAATCACCTTCACTTCGTTGTCCTGTGGCACATAGACATGGTCTGTGCACACCCGCCAGCTCATGATCAGCGATTCAGAAACACACTTCACTCTTGAATTCCAGGGTAAGTGTTATCAGACACTTGCAAGCCAATCAAAAAACAGCAATCAAATCCGCACACCCAAGATCCTTGCAAATGAACTGGATGTTGAAGGGCCCGGAAATCTTCAAAGCTTTGCACAACTTCTGCGAGATGCTCTTGACCCGTCTATGAGTCTCGACAAAGAGACGCTGCGCTGGCAGAAGCAGCGTCGCATCCCCACTGTGGACACCAGCGTTCCTCACTGTCACACAGGGAATCACAGGCGGAAAGAGTCACACGCGGCCGACGCTTGGGAAGAGCAAAGCTGAAAAGAAATGTCGGCTGAGTATCGAAACGTTTCGGCTAAAGGAAGAAACTGCTGTTAGGGTGGAGGCCATCGCTGCTAGGGTGGAGGCTACTACCGTACTCAAATTGACGCCAATCTGAAGCGGAGTGTCTCAATGTGCTCTGCGATGGCATAGTTCACCAAATCACCATTGTTACCGATAGCATCCATTTCAACTTCCTGCAAACCCCGATCTTTTGAGGCCATGTCGCGGAAGAATTTCCCACAAAACGATTGGCTGAACTCGACGTGGTTAATTAGTGGAAGAGAAGTTGATGATGGTGATGATGATGATGATGACGAGGATGATGAACCTAAGTCGGAAAGCGTGAGCCAAGCTGCGTCTGTCCGGGTGGAGGCTCATTTTGGAACACACGATTTAAACAGCCGGAGTTGAACAAAAAAGCCGCACTAGCACAAAACACAGAATATGTGCAATCCAGGTCACGGTTCACGGCGGCCACTCAGCCACTCAAGATCCTGACCGGCCACTCAGCCACTCAAGATTTTGAGTGGCTGAGTGGCTGACACGAAGAAAGCCTAGTGGCTGAGTGGCTGACAGGAAGAAAAGCCTGAGTGGCTGAGTGGCTGACAGGAAGAAATGTCTTAGTGGCTGAGTGGCTGAGAGGAAGACGGCTGACAGGAAGAAAAGTCTGAGTGGGTGAGTGGCTGATTGTAAAAAGAGCCTGAGCGGCTGACAGGAAGGAAAGCCTGAGTAGCTGAGTGGCTGGTGCCGAGCGGCTGGGTGGAGGTGGTGGTAGTAGTGTGGTAGTAGTAGTAGTAGTAGTAGTAGTAGTAGTAGGAGTGGGAGTAGGAGTAGGGGTGGGAGTAGGAGTAGGAGTAGGAGTAGCAGCAGCAGTAGTAGCAGTTTAGTAGTAGTAGTAGTAGTAGTAGTAGTAGTAGTAGTAGCAGTAGCAGCAGCAGCAGCAGCAGTATTAGTAGTAGGAGTGGTCGGAGCAGTGGAAGTGGTCGTCGTAGTGGTGGTAACAGTAGCAGTGGCAGTAGCCACTGTAGGAGGAGGAGGAGGAGGTCGAAAGCTAGCCGAAGCGCACCGGAGGTGTTTGTTTGCGCGCAGCACTTGTTGAGCTTGCGTACCCATACGGAAAGCCAGGGTTCGAGCTGGATTTCCATGGCGCTCAACTCAACCGGGTTTAGGGGTGCAAGGTATAATATTGAACACAGAAGTTTCTGTGGAAATCATCCGTTTCTGAAACGGATCCTGCTGCTGTTCCACTACCATTCGCAGTGGGCCCGAAATCAGTCGGCAAGTGAGCTGCAGCACACTAATGATGGCGACGCGGACGCTTCATAAACAGCACTGGGCTGATTGCTCCTTGGAGCACGGGGCCTTTTGTTCTTGGGATGTAACGTAACAGTTGTCACCAGCTCTTTTGCAATGAGGATCGGCATTGGCTGCCAAGCACAAGCGCAAACATAGAGCTACGGAGCCCTGGCGGGGGAGTCGCATGCGCAGTGCCTGGAACATCCCTACATCCTAACATCCACCTGGATATGTTAGCAGACACTCGCATACTTGGGCACGAACATAAAAGGAATAGAGTGTCTGGATCAAATAGCTTGTTTATTGTTATTGCAAATCTGGTGGTTAAATTTACCCCCGGCTTTTGTATGCATTGGGTCGGAAATAGGGGTAAGCATTTCTGGCATCACAAGGAATGTAAATGCACCCGGCCCTCCGCAGTGCAGGATAAGTCTTCGAAAAAGGTATAAGGAACAGAGTGTCTTGATGAAATAGCTGGCTTATTGTTATAGCGATTCTGGTGGGTAAATTTACCACCGCTTTTGTACGCATTGGGTCGCAAATAGGGGTAAGCATTTCTGGCATCACAAGGACTGTAAATGCACTAGGGCGTCGGTAGTGCAGGATAAGTTTTCGAACCAGTATAAGTTATAAGGAATAGAGTGTCGTGATGAAATAGCTGGTTTGTTGTTATGGCAAATCTGGAGGGTAAAATTTACCTCCCGCTTTTGTACGCGTTGGGACAAAATAAGCTAAAATAAGGGTAAACATTTGTGTATATTTAACTGCTAGAGAAAGAGGGTGCTTTAGCCAAAGGAGACAGACTTCAGTTTTTGCGCCGGCTTTGACCAGCTACTACCAATACTACTTCTACTACGACGACTACTCCACACCAGCCACTTAACCACTCAGCCACTCAGGCATTTCCTCCAGGCTTTTCTCCCTGTCAGCCACTCAGCCACTCAGACTTTTCTTCATTTCAGCCACTCAGCCACTCAGGTTTTTCGTCCTGTCAGCCACTCAGGCTTTTCTTCCTGTCAGCCACTCAGCCACTCAGGCTTTTTTCATGTCAGCCACTCAGCCACTCCCAATCTTGAGTGGCTGAGTGGCTGACAGGAAGAAAATCCGCATTTCCACGTACAATCAAAGAAATAAGGCAACAAACCAAGCGCAACCTGAAATGAACACGAAAAAGAAATGCAGCTAACACAAACGCCCGCGTTCCAAATTAAGACTAATCTCCCGCGTTCCAAATTGAGACCAATTGCGCGTTCCAAAACGAGGCCGTTCCCTTAGAAAGTCCCAGAAAAAGTGGTCCCAAAACAAATGCCCAGGTAGTGAGCATCATATGTGCATCTAGTAAAGTCCCTGTTCTTACCATCTATCCTGTCCGCAAGAGGACGATGATGGTGGCGATGATGAGGGTGATGGGGGGGCCCATGAATAGAATCTAAACTCAAACACAAAAATCAAACACTTTCAACAATTCAGCCCCCTTGCTTATGCGAGATAGAACTCAGGTAGCTGAAGCTACCTTTCATGAACTTTCTGAATAGTGGACAAAGTGGTAAGTTCTGTTCTGTTGAATGCGCCACTGTCCTTTGCACCTGCAATGTACTTGGAGATCACCACTGGATGATCCCTGCTCACCACAGCGGCAGTTTTTAAGAACACGTCCAAATCATCATCATTTGTGACCACACGCATGGCTGCGCCGCTCAACACATAGGAGGGCCGCGCCAAGACCGGAAAGCCAGCAGTGGTACAGAAACGCCGCGCCTCCTGCCAGCGATTCTGGCCGAAGCCCCCACGATTTACTCGGAACATCAGAATCCAATCACCGTCAAGATCTGCACTCGATCTACGAGTAAACACTCCTAGTCGCAGATTGCTTATCACTTCTCAGTTGTAAAAATGACAATGAAGTCTCACTCGCTCTTAGGTTGGAGACCATTGCTAGTAGGTTAGACGCCATGCAGTCTCATGGCCAACGCGTCAACCTGCCTCCAGGGTGGCAAACTCGGACCACTCGGGCTGGTCGATGCGGAGCTGGTCACAGAGTTGGGAGAACTTGTTGCGGTCCTCGCAACAGAAACAGTTTGAGCGTTTCTCAGGTGTTTTCCTTTACTTGTAGAGTTTAGAGTTTTTTGGGAATAGAGTTTAGGGTCGTTTTGGAATCCTTTTAGACTGTTCTTGAACTGTACAACCCTTTTTTGTAGTCCTCGCAGGCGTCGATGGCCTCCACCGAGGTCCCCAGGATCCGGACGCCGCAACGGTGCAAGCCTCGGTTTGGTCTCTAAGCGATGTGAAATTCAGAACTTTGAGAGACAACAAAACCTGAACAGACATAGTGAAAAGAGGAAGTTATACTAGTAGCGTCGCTCCTAGTAGCGATGCCCTTTGCTCCTAGTAGCTTCTTGTTACTAG